GGAAATGAGTTACTGAAGAGTTATGAATTTGAATAAACCCATTAAAATTTTCAGACACTGTTCTCTTTCACTTTCAATTTTCAGTTCGAACAAGGGGAAAGAAGCGTGCAGTTTCCAGCAAATACATCTAAACAGTTTGGCAGTGTTTAGTGTTACAGAGTGCTCCAAGTAGCTGAATACATGAAGGTCACCCAAATTGCCTTAATTCTGCTCTGCTGACGCCCTTGGAATAATCAGAAACCGAGAGAGTCTTGTCTCTAAGAGCAAGCTGAGATGTACTTTGGCTGCTCCTGATTTAAATAAACAGTGCTCTCAGGGCCCTAATTCTGGCTGTTGATGAATGTGGAGTGGAAATTACAGAGATATCATTGTACACACCATATGTCCCCGAGCTCTTTTCCTTAGTTGCAGCACTATGGTGATGGTCGGGGCTGAGCTGTGATGAAGCATCACCAATAGCACTGGAACATGTTTGAATGCATGTGTAAAGCCCACAGTTCTGGTTGACTTCGTTGCTCTCTTCCCAGTGAGCGGTGCACCTACCCTGTATAAATCCTTTAATGAGTTCCTTTTTCCTCTCGGGCATTAGGACTTCACAGCACAGAAAGAAGTGATAAATTCCTAAACCATTAAAAATAATCTTTTAAAAAGCCATTGAAAAGCAATTTTCTCTGTCAAAACTAGCATTAGAGGGAGGTGAGAGATATCTGGCAGTGGTATCAAACAGATTATAGTTTGTTTTAGAGGCCCTACAAGTACTTTTGCTTTTCTTTTTGTATAAGACAAATTTTCTAAGGCTTTCTCAGGTTTCTAAAACCTGGCGCTCTGTTTTGGCTTTAGCTAAAATGAAAATGCTGCATTGAGAAGTTAATAGAAGAATGCGTAAAGAGTACGTTTTGCCAACCTCAGAGAGGCACTTTTATAGAGATGTTCCTATTGTAAAACTCAAAATTTTAAAAGTTTAAAAAAACTGTGAACTTCTGCAGAGAATATATTTTCTGTGCTAATGGAAAATATGGTAAAAAAAAAAAAAAAAAGGCAGCATGATAGCCATGAGTCAGGTTTTTGGAAGATTTAAGTTTTTTTAAAGTCTCAAATAGTTGGAAAGGGAACTATTAAGAAAGGTATTTAATTGCATTTCTTCCGTTCGTTTGTTTCAGGAGCAACTAATGTTTGGTGAAGTAATCAACACTAATGCAAGCAGCTTCATTAAAAATTTAGTAGGCGAGGGTTTCTTTTACTTGTCAATTTGAATACTGTTAGAAGGAAGTAAAAGTGCTTGCAAAGTGCTGGCTGAGGGCTTTGCTTTGTCCCCTCCCTGCCTCCATCATGCCATAGATCTTCAAGAAAGCTAAGTGTAAGATCCAGGCCAAAAAACTTGGCTGTAAAGGTGCAAATCTCTGTATTTTGGAATGTAGTGCTTAGTATGGGTACAGTTAAGCTCTCTACTTTTTTCCTTTTGTTTAAGTCTTCCAGGGCCTTTTAATCAGGCCCAGAGCAAGGATCTGCACATAAGAGAACATTCTGTACTAAATCAGATCTGGTCTCTGTGCATCAGCACATTTGATGGTCCTTAGGAAGCAGCGGGTGAGGCTTGAGGTATACACATGCATAACGTAACTCAGAAGGAACCTATAAATCTGAAAATACATTGGATTGGTTTGATTACTGTATTTCTTGAGAGGAAGCAGTGTGCATGAATATTGTTAATGGAACTGGCTAACTTCATGAGCACCATACTGGAGTATCGAAAAGTATTAAGCTGTGAGATGTATAAAAACAACATGTACAATAGTTTGTATTCATCTTAAAGGCTGTCTTGGGAGATGATATATCATCAAGCTCCTATGGACTGCAGTGATGTGTGATGGACATCCAATGGAAGGGAGAGAGATGGAGCTCTCTTACAATGCTTGTGCTGCCAGACTCAGTACAGTTGCATGTTTTGCTTAGAAGACAATGCTGGATTGTCAAGCATTGTAGATGATCCTCAGGGAATTCCTGCTTGTCTTCCAGTGGGCTCTGTGTGTCTTTTGTGTTGCTCCAGTTGATGAGAAGATGATTTGCTATCTTTGAAGTCCCAGCCCTGTAGATGTTGAAAGCCATTTTGGATGGGGCCCTAGGCAGCCTGATCTGGTTAGTGGCAGCTCTGCCCATGGCAGGGGGTTGTGGCTGGGTGAGTTTTAAGGTCTTTTCCAACCCAAACCATTCTGTGATCCTGTGATTCTGTGATAAGTGTTATATGGAAGAGAATTATGGAGTGCAAACTGCTGCTTATGCTTTGCCGCACTTCCCTATGCTTACACAAACCACAGGGTTTTCACAGCAGCAGCTGAGCCTGTAGTTCAGTGAGGTTCATACCAGAGCTGGATCACAGGGCAGCATCGAGGTCTGAGCCCAGTCCTCTCCTTCTCTGTGTATTTTTTCCACAGTTAGATGCTTTCTTTGAAGGGAAAAGATGATGAAATTCCGAGTGGGAAAATATGTTGCTGTAGGATCAAGAAGTGTCATCTTCTGTTTAGGAAAAAACTGATGATGATACATCAGTAGGTGCCAGGACAGCTAAATAGCAGTAATGGTGGTGGCTGAAGGGCCACCTTTTCAGCCAGCAGAAATGCCTTTCCACTGAATTTAGATAGCACTTTTCCGTATGTAATTTCTTTGATGTGTAAAAGAAAGAAAAAAAGAGTGAGCAATTTGATAATGAGAGAGATAATGAGATGATTAAAGTGCAGTTAAATCAGAATACAGATGGAAAATAGAAATGTCAGGTACTTTTTTCTTCTAGACTTTCTAATGTGTCTTGATAACTGGGAATACCACGATCTATAATCCTGAAATTAGTAATGTGTGATATATGAGAGTCCCACAATTAGCAGCTAATAAAGAAAATATTGGGAAAGCATAAGAGGGATTATTTATGCATTTTTGGGAAAACAAACAGATAAAACCACAAAACTTGCTGATACCCATCAATACAACCCTGAGCTTGTCAGGAGACCAGAAGTAGCATTTGATGCTAGACTTGCGGAGAGACTGTGGATTTAAAAAATAAAATAAAATAAAAGGTTGTTAATTTTATTTTCTAGATCTTTTGCTCTGTCTTGCATACTTACTTCTACTGGGAAGAAATGCACACCACAAAAAATGCTTTCATTAAATTTACTGCTAATTGGAATCAACTTGGAAGCTGACAAGGTATTGTTCTTTGTTTGGATGAATCCTGCTTCTGCTGCAGTAGATGTGAGGCAGTGCGTGAAATTGGACCTGCCTGTCAGCTCTGTTGGAGGAACAGGTCAGGTTGTGTGCTGTACAACAGTGTGTATCCACTGTTTCCAGTTTGACTTGGGGTCTGAGCCTGCTGCTCAGGTTTGGGCTCCTCCTCAGCATCCTGGAACAGCTGTGGCACTGGTGAAAGCTACAGGGGGAGCTGAGCAGCCCTTCACTGTACACAGGCAGGGTGCACACAAGTCCCATTCAGCTCCTCTCTCTGAAACGGATTGCACAACAGCAGCTCAGCCAGAGCTGAGTATTTCCTCCTTACGTGCATCCTCTTCTTCTTCCTGCCCCTCCCAGCCACTTCCAGTAACCAAGTTATAGCAAGCCCCAGGCAGAGGAAAGATGTGAGGCACCTGTGTAAAGCCTTTTCTGAACAGCTGGCACTCTGAAGAGTGAGAGGAGAGCAGACAGATTTTGTGTGGACATTTACTGGTTCTCTTGCAGGAAGTGAAATAAGCTTAGGTACGCTTTTGTCTCCAGCAAAAGCCATAATAAGATAGCTTATATTAAAAACACTACTATTTATTACACTGATTATATTATATAGTGATAAAATATTTCAGAGTGGTTCTTGTCAGTGTTCAGTATCTCATGTTTTCAAAGAGTGCAGTACCAATTGCATCAAATGATGTAAATCTTAGGTCTGCTCATCCACTCAGTACTGAGCTACGTACCTGGTGCTTCAGAATGACCTACACCCAGAGGGTTCGCAGGGTGACTTAGGTGAAGAGTGGGGGAAACTGGAGTCAGGATGGCATCAGATCTGTGAGTTCTGTTTGCAGTATCCGGTAAAAAAGGAGCCTGTGGCACTGATGATAGTGGTAATACATCGAGGGAAGGGTGAAAATAAGTCTTCCTGGGCATGCTTGCAGCACAATAGGCGAACTGGACTGGGTGCTTGCCTTGCTCATCCTTTGCAGAGAAGGATGCAGTGTACATCTGTTGATGCTGTGGAGGTCCAGTGGGTCATATGACCAAAGGAACCTGCAGTAGGTCTGCTCCTGCTCTCATGGCATAATGATTTGATTGTGTTTATGTTTTCTTAACAGAGGAGATGGTGGAGAGTAGTTTGGATGTGCGCCTCGAAAGAGGGACATGATATGTGGAGGGATTTTATACAACATGATGGAGGCAGTGTTGCACACGCAGCTGGCTGGCATGTCTCCCACTTCATCCTGCCATTAAACGACGCTCTCTCTGTGTGTAATCTGTATATCTCAGTAATTGTGAGTTGGTGACAGGTCTGGGATGGTAGTCAGAAACGTTCATCAGCTCTGCAACATGACACTTGAGAAAAGCTCCACCTTAAAACACTCCTTGCAGCCATAGTGCTATGGTTTCTTAATTTCACTTGTAGCTGTGTTTCCTTCTGTGCAAATAGAGCTGTGCTTCCTAAGGCTGCATTCAGGATGCTGGTGCTGGAAACCGCTGAGCTTTGTCTGTGCCTGTTAAAGCGAGACACACTGGAGTCAGCTGCGGGGTTCCTCCTGCTGCTGCCGAACAGAAGAGCCCCTTCTGCAGCTTGCTGCTAGCTGGGCTGGGGTTTGTTGAGACCCTTTTTCTCGCTATATTAGAGTTTCTTTTTCTCTCTTTCTCCTCCTTTTTCATGTATATATATATCTTTTCTGGTGGCTGAATGTTTGTGGCCAAGCATTTCTCTTTTAAAACCATTTAATTTTTGCAGCACGTCAGAAGGGAACTTCTGAAATCCTATCTGGCTCAGAGCAGACTGTACCTATGTGCTAACCAGCAGCACGCTGCACAGCCCTGAGCCCTGCTGTTCTTAGAAACTGTTCAGCTGTGAAAACAAGGCCACATCTGAGCGGAGGCAGCCTCCTCTTGAGTGAGACAGGAGCTTCTTGGGACCTCTTTCAGTGAGTCGAAGACTTGTGTGTAGTTGCTGTTTTAGAGGCATGGAGTTGCTTCTGGTATACTTATCTTGTTTGCTGGGAATGCTGTGCATAGGGTATGAATGCTGAGACTGTAGCAAGTTTGAAAACACGTCAGTATTTTGCTGTTTGGGATATTAAAGGGAACCTGCCTTGGGGATATTTGTTGTGAAGCTGCTGAAATACCTGCCCCTGTTGCTTGGGATACTGGTATAGAGTAAAAGACTGCTAAAGCTGTAGGTCAGCTTTTCAATTCCTGTCTTTACAACTGGAGATAAGGAGTGCTACAATCTCCTGCTCTTCGCTTGCCGGCACTAAGAATGTCTCCACCATCAGGCTCAGCCATCTGTGACCTGTTCTGTGTGCAATAGTGTGAGCAGCACACTGCCTCCTCCTCCAGCATCATCCCTCTGGCCTCTCACCCTGCTGGGGAGCCCATGGCAGCAGGGCATTGAGCAGAGCTTGCTGTGTGCTTTCTTTCACTAACTCTGGAAAGACGTCAACTTGGTTCACAGCAGTAAATGGGATTCAGTGGTGTTGATGACTCCTGATTTGGTGTGTAATAATCCCACTGATTTATTCTCTTTCTAGGTGCTGTGACAATGGAGCTAAGCTGCACTGAAGTTCCTCTTTATGTAAGTCCTGCAACATCTGTCCTGGGGGGCATTTTCCTTGGCTCATTCTAACATAGCAAAAGAAACCAAAAACCACTTTCTTGTTGTCTGCGACCTTAGGCTGCTAAACGTTGCTGTCAGAAGCAAGCATGTGAGGGGATGGTGGTTTTCAATACTGCAGATACATTCTCTGAAATAAAATCATTGTCCTTCTTGGATAATATTTTCCTTCTTCAGTGTTCTCAATTGCAGTTTGCAGAAACTGTTACTGTCTGTGGAGAGTAACACTCCCTGGTTACAGCTTAGAACTTACAGATGTTTTTTCCTCTTTAAAATTTCAAATTCCTATTCTTTCCATTTCCTCAAAGCAGAAGATTATATATAGAAAAAAAGCCTAATAGGTCAAAATTGGTAATAAAAAGGATTTTTTTTTCCCCATGGAATGTGAAGTGATTGGATATAACAAGTGAACTCAGAAGAGTTCAAAAATAGATGTTAAAAGATGTGAGGATGTACAGTAGTTAATTTAGATAGAGATAGCACAGTGAGGATTGAAACGTGGGCAACTTAATGACTATTACTAATAAACTAAAATATATCTTTTTTTAGCTTGATCTGCCTTGGTTTTCAATGAGAATGGTAGCAGGGGTATGTAAATGTCCGTGTGTAGGACAGTAATGGAAAAGTGTGAAGCAGTGGAACAGGTTGCTCAGAGTGGTGGATGCCCCATCCCTGGAGACATTCTAGGTCAGGGTGAATGAGGCTCTGAGCAACCTGATATTGCTGCAGGTGTCCCTGTCACAATCCAATTCCATTGAGTTGGACTAGATAGCCTTTAAGGGTATCTTCCAACTCAAACAGTTCCATGATTCTATAAGGTACTGTTTGGGGTTGATGAAAAGAGTAGTTGAAGAGTGGTTGATGAAATACAGAAATTAAACAACTGACTGCTTATTGTGATAAGAATGGAAATGAAGCAGTGCAAATAATTTGTAACCTGCAGTACTGAAAGAACAGAGTTTGCTAATTCACCCTGAAGAATTTGCATTGTGTTTGACCATTTGGGAGTGGGAATCTCAAGCAGGAGAAAATTAAGTGCAGCCTGTGTAAAGGTGGGAGGGAGATTTGTGAGACCTGCTCATGTGGTATCAGTTGTGTGCAAGGTTTTAGTGACAAATTTTGATGGGAAAAATAATTTGGGATGTGATGCTAACGGGTGAAGTTCAGTATGGTTTTGTCATAGAGGTCTGAACCAGGCTAGCGGGATATCTTCCTTGGTTAACAACAGGGTTAGTACTTCATACTGTTACACATTGTCAGTACTGAATTTCTTTGCACATCTAACATTTTGTGTAATCTGGACATCTGAGTGATGACTATTTTTTTTGTTTTGTAAGTAAGTATTCAGAAAGCTCAAAGACTTTGCTGAATAATATGATTTTTTGGGGTAATATAATTTAAAAATACTCTATGAAATTACTCCAGTTCAAAAATGCATTATTTTGATACACCTTTTCTTATATATAATTTTGGTGGCAGCAATACAGTTAAAATCTAATTAAAGCACACATAAATGTCATGATTTAAAAAACAAATGGTAGTGAAACAGAAAATTAAATATTTCAAGCACATGTTTTTCAGTTAATTTGAGGAGCCTGCTTCCGGCTTCTAGACAGCAAAACACTGGTAAATACATCAGAAAATTACTCTTTATAAACCCATGTAATTTTCAGGATTGACTAGCCAAGCAGAAACCGATACTGATATCTCTTCTTTCAATGCTAATAATATGTTGCTTTGAGAAGTAAAACTTAAATTTAAAATTATGTTTATCCAGTTCAGCCTTCAAGGGCAACAGCAGGCTCAGTCTCTTCATTTTACAGCACAGTAAACAGAGTATGTAAAATAAGACTGAATTGCCTTCAGGCAGCTGCTAACTTTGTCACAGATGGCAGAAGGGATATCTGTAAGCTATAAAAGTATTTGATGAAATACTTTTCAGATATCACAGACATTAAATGTAGTTGTTGTTGCTGTTGAAAGTGATTGCTTGTGTGTAAACACAAATCTCTTTAATGGAAAATCCTTCCTTCTTATTTAACGGTAGGTGACTGTTAACATTACTGCTATGTTTTTTTTTTTTTTTTAAAGAAGTGTTGTTGATCATCAGTACTGATCTTTGACATTGGCAAAGAAATGTTTTGCTGCCATGGGTAAGCAGACTGTGGGAGCAGTCAACTCTGGAAAAGTTTGTAAATTACTTTTTACTAAGAGCTTGATAAATGTTTCCCTAGGGAGCAGCAGAGGCAAATAAAGAGATGCAGAGTTTTGTAGGGTAGTCACATCAGTTCCCTGTGGACGCAAAAGGGCCTCATCTCCCAAGGAGTTTCTGGAGACTGTGTTTTCAAAAGAATATGTGGACATTAATACTGCAGGAAGAAGCAGAGGCATGGTCTCCCAGCTGTAAGTTCCAAGAAAATAAAACTTCCATTTGGCTCTGTACTGTACATTGTTTCCTAGTTCCCAGAATGAACTTAGGTCCTAAGATATCTAGTGCTCTTGCGTACGGCCTCTGGAGTCAATTAAAAGAGTATGAGGGCAAAGCATAGTTAACTTCCCTTATATTCTGCTGTACCCGGTTTGACCCTCCAACTGATTCAGAATCCCAGAGTGAAGCTATCGGGCCTCTGTGTCCCTCTGGCCCAACCCCTGCCCAAGCAGAGACACGCTAATGCAGCCCCAGATAGCATAGTCTACTTTGCAGTGCAGACACCCCTCAGTGCTGCATTGTACTTGTTTCAGGCTGAGGTTTCATTTTCACACTGTTAGAGCTTCTTCAATGAAGTGCAGGTTGCAAGGAGAGAGGAGTGTTTATATATTCACAGATCAATCAAAACACTCTTACAGATATTGAGGGTCCATAGGGTTTTCCTCAGGGTGGGTCAGGGATAGCTGAGGTTAGGACTTAGCACTAAACTGCTTGAAGCTACAGAGCAAATCAGTGCCTTCAGACTGTCCCACCTTAGAGTGTGTCAATGCTTCTCATTGCCTGGCCTGTGCTTCAGAGTGCCAACTGTGTGAAGCTTTCTAGAGTTTCTTTCCACCCCTGATACTTTCCTCTCTAGTGTTTTTCCTTGTCTTTAGAGTTCACACAGTCCAACCTGTTCTTTGCTTGTCCTGCTCTTCACTTGTTTGGATTGGAGATTTGCTCTGGGTGATGTGACGCCTGCTTAATTCCTTCTGTTTTAGGAGCCTGTGTTTTCTATTACTGTCATAATGTGAGTGCCTGATAATCTTTCTAGTGCACACTGTGTAGTTTTTCACAATGCCCTTTTGTAGTCAAGAAATGTTTAAGTTCATCACCTCAGACCTCCTCTCTAAAGGCAAGTGCAGCCAAGTGTCTAACAGCCAACACAAGTATGGTGAAGTATGCTCTGGTCCAGGTTTCTCAGACCCTCACCAAGTGCTTGGATGAGGCAGCATTTTTCCCCTTTAGCTTTTAGAAGTTAAGTATGCCTGTAGGGAGAGCATTATCATGTGTGATGGTTTCTTTGTTTTGACAAGTGAAAACTGCTTCTAATGCAAATTGCTCATGGCATACCAAAGCTCAGGTGCAGCCCTTCTCATGTAAGGTACAAAAGACACAAGCTCAGCTGCTTTGGGTGGAGAAAGACAGGGGCACATCAAATAGCTGCTATAGACCATGGCTTGGCAGAGCTGTGTGTTGACAAGCTGACCATAAGAGAGGTCCTCATGAGCTGTGACTCCTGCTCTGTCCTGTAATGTGTGGTCCCACAGGGGAAAGATATGTACCCAAGTCTTGGTGGCAGCAAGGGTGGAGAAATTAGTATGGTGGCTTTGACTGGTCTTCCAGCTGAGTGTGCTCTGAGCAAGAGGAGATGGTCATGTGGCTTGCTTGCCTCACAACAGCCTCCTTGCATTAACTGCTGACCAGGAGCTTGGCTTCCTTCAGAGATGAGTGCAAAACGAGAATTTAAATGCTGTTGTGGGCAAGACAGAGGCTGGCTGCTCTTTTATCACATGTAAATACTTGTAGCCCATCCCTACAAAGGTACATCTGGTTACAGCCTGCCTCATTTGATTAGCTGTTTTATTTCCTTGGTATTACATCACAATTTGAAAGCTCTTTTGATCTTACGATGCCTTTTTTGTAGGGTATGTCTTCCTTCTAGGAATGTTTGTGCAAACACTTGGCTACAGCCTGGTTTGTTAGCATCTTTACCATTCATCTGCAATGCTTTTATTCCTCAAGAATAATCTGGGGCTCAACTGAAATCACAGCTGCTTATTCACAGACACCTTGGCAGTCAAAGGTATCTAAACACAGAACAGAGAAGATAAAGTAGGGGGCCTACTTCATATCCTTGGGGCCCAGAGAACAGCAACGGTAAATTCCTGGATTAGATTTTAAAGTTCTTCAAAGCAAAAGCTTACATGCAACAAATTAGCGACTTGGGTTTGTGAGGGAAGGAAACACGGTGAGACAGAATTAATTAGGAAAGGTTTTAGCTTACAAATAACTTCATTTCATAATCCATTAAGAAAAGATGGGAGCCAGCAGGGACTGGCCAAGGAACAAAATAGGGAAGCTGTCTCCAGCCAGCAACCGGTGTTCACCCTGCCTTTCACCCCAGCTGGCTTTTGTTAAAGTAACACCGGTACCATCTGCACAGCAGTAGTGCGGAGGGGAAAAGTAATTACAGATTTTCATATTGTGTACGTAACATAAAATACTTCTGGGCCGGTTCCAGAACACGAATCCCTGTTGTACAGAAGAGTAAATTAAAGACAAAAGTTTTAGGTTAGGAGTCAAAGTCTTCTTGAATGGTTAGAAAGCAGAGTAGTTGAAGGTACAGTTTGAAAAGAGGGATTTAATGTAGATCTAGGAATTGGATTAATTTTGTATTCTCTCAGGAACTTCTATTTGTCTCTGCTGGTTTTACCTCAAAATTGAGATTGTTCCAAAGTGCTGGGCGTTGAATAATGTTGCCCTAGTTGAA